GGCCATCATGGCCCTCTTGTTTATTTTGCTAATATTAAATGTAATCTTGTGGTGAAATTTTGTGGGAGGGTCCTTACGGATTTTGTAGTTAAATAGTTTTTTTTTCGGCGATACATGGTTTAAGAATATAATGTTTTCAAACTATATGTTCATCACCATTAGTGAATTTTTAGTTCTAAATGTATGCAAAATATTTACTAACAGCTATATGATATAGCGGTTAATGAGCGTTTTCCGCGTACAGCCTCCTAAGGTGTACTAATAAGTTAGTTTTCCTTAGTTATCACGCAAGCATGATCCATGTCTCTGATGTAAGCGACAGTTTACCATTATTTGTCTTTAAAAAAATATTAAGGACTATTAATGGTTTATAACAACAAAAGAACATGCATGATATTGAGACTACGGTGTTGCAACGTTCTAGTTAATGACCCGTCATAAACAGTTGGTCGCTGCGTAGTAATTGGAAAATTGTTATCAAAAATAATAAAGAATATTTGCCACCTAATTAAAGCATTTATCTATAAATTTTCATTTATGCTTTTTGTTTAAAAAATATTGATAAAGTTATTATATAGAAGGGTTTTCATACCAGAACTATTTATTACCAACGTACGTATGCCTAAACCTGATTACCGCGGCAGTATGACGTCACGGAGTAGTGATTTTGAAAAAATAACAAACAAAAATCGAGAATTATTATCTTTACAAATTGCAGATATGAAATTAAAGAATGAAAATATTTTCATATTGTAAATGTCTGTGATGAGTGATGAGTCAGCTAAGAAAAAATCAAGGTACTATTTTTTTACCTGATTACCGCGGCAGTAAGATTTGACGGACGGTTATTAACATTGGGTCGGCATAGCCTCCCCAATAATGTAATAAACTTTTACAAAAATATTCTAAGCAATAAAACTAAAAACTAATATCAACTAAACATATTTACAAACATATATAAATCATGCAAATGCTAAATTAACAATTTGTATCTAACTAAGTTTAAAGGCCAGTGTAATTAAAAGTAGAACCATTCTCTATATATTGTATATAAAGAGTCTTAGGCTATGCTAAGTTGCTGTTAAAGAATGTATCAATAATTTTACAAACTATAATCAACTTTTAACTAATGAATGAAAAGAACGAAATGTCTATAAAACAATACATGTTCAATATGATTAAACTTTAAAATAAACTTAAATCTAGGTTAAAGTTTAAACCCTTAATATTACTTCAAAAATATGTATGAAGATTATATATGATTTACTTCTTTAGTAATATTATACAACATTATGTAATGATTATATAACCAATTGTAAGTGGAATCCAACTTTACAACACATTCATAATAATAAAGCAGTGATTAACTTGATAAAACATCTTAAAAACAAACCTTTTCGGTAAATTTTATGTATTCATAGGTCAGCATTATTATACTCAATTAAAACATCCTTGTGACAACTTTATCGAATAGTCGAGCCTTAATTACTGTCCTCCGACAGTTCTTGTTATATAGTTATTATACATGTATTTCTGAATATGTAAAATGGTTATATTTTTAGTACAGGCAAATTAGATACAAAGTCTGTAAAAGGTTATGAGAAGTGTGCTCTAACTTATTAATATTCTTTTTATGCCCCCGGGCATACAGTGATTGAACCGTCCGTCTGTCCGTACGAGGTTAACCTAGAACGGCAAGTTGGATTTTTCTTAAGTTCTACCTGTACCAATGGCTTCTAAGTTTACACACTTACTTATCAATACAAAGTACATGATCTGGGCAAGTTACATAACTCTGGCTTTCATATTTACCAAGTTATTGCCCTTTTCAGCACTTAGAAAATGAATAATGGTTAACCTAAAACGGCAAGTTGGAAATATCTTAAGTTCTATCTATACTTATGGCTTTATAATTTCAACACTTACTTATCAATACAAAGTACATGATATTGCCAAGTTATATAACTGTGTCATCCATATTTCTCAGTTATTTCCCTTTTTTCACTTTGAAAATAGGGCCTTGTCTGGTTAACCTATTTTGGCAAGTTGGATTTATCTTAAAATGGATACCTTTGATGGTCCTCTAATTTTTAGCTCGACTATACGAAGTATATGGAGAGCTGTCCTACTCGCCCGGCGTCGGCGTCCGCGTCCGCGTCCAGATTTTAGATTAAAGTTTTGGTGCAGTAAAATATTTTTCACTATAACTTTGTCATTTCTTAAGGTATCAACTTCAAACTTCAAATATATGTTCCTTATCATCAACCACATCATATGTGACAAGGATCATAACTCTAGCACCAATATTTTCAAATTTATCTCTCCTTGAACTTAGAATTTTCCTTAAAAAATACTATTTTTTACTGTTACTTCTTTATTTCTTAAGGGATCAACCTCATACTTCAAATATATGTACCTTATCATCATCCCCATCTTATGTGACAAGGTTCATAACTCTAGCACCAATATTTTCAGATTTATCTCCCCTTGAACTTAGAATTTTCCTCAAAAAGTATTATTTCTTACTGTTTCTTCTTTATTTCTTAAGGGATCAACCTCATACTTCAAATATATTTACGTTATCATCATCCCCATCTTATGTGACAAGGTTCATAACTCTAGCACCAATATTTTCAGATTTATCTCCCCTTGAACTTAGAATTTTCCTCAAAAAGTATTATTTCTTACTGTTTCTTCTTTATTTCTTAAGGGATCAACCTCATACTTCAAATATATTTACGTTATCATCATCCCCATCTTATGTGACAAGGTTCATAACTCTAGCACCAATATTTACAGATTTATCTCCCCTTGAACTTAGAATTTTCCATAAAAAATATTTTTTTTACTGTTACTGATTTATTTCTAAAGGGATCAACTTCATACTTGAAATATATTTACGTTATCATCATCCACATCTTATGTGACAAGGTTCATAACTCTAGCACCAATATTGCAAGAATTATTTCCCCATAAACTTAGATTTTTTTACTAGAAAAATGTTATTTTTTATTATAACTTTTTTATTTTTAAAGGTATCTACCTCAAACTTCAAAAACTTATTCCTTATCATCAATTACATTTTATGTGACAATGTTCATAACTCTTGAAGCAATATTTACACCTTTATCTCTCTTTGAACTTAGGATTTTCTTTAAAAAATGTAATAACTTCTTTACTTTTTAAGGTATCTACTTCAAACTTCAAATATATATTTCTTATCATTACACAAATGTTGTTTGACAAGGTCCATAACTCTAGCATGACTATTTCTAGAATTATTCCCCTTGATCTTGGAATTTATGTTAACAAATATTTTTTTTTTTACTATAACTTAATACATAATTATACATAATTGATTTTTCTTTCATAGTTTTGTCCTCCTTACTGCGTCCAGTATTTTATTAGTCGAGCTTCGCTGTCTCCTGTGACAGCTCTTGTTTGTGGAGTAAGCGGTCTCTAGGGTCAAGGTCAAGGTCACTGGTTTAAAAAATAAATATAAACATTTTTGTTCATACAGCTTTTATATTTTAGTTGATGTTTTAGTTTAATACAAACATGCCAAGGGATGTCCTCCTTCTTTGGGTGTAGTAAGGGGTCATTTGGGTCAAGGTTAATGCTACCAATGTCAAGGTCAACAATGTTAAAAATAGATTTTTACTGGTGTATTGACCTTATTCTATAGACAGATGTTATTTATAATTGATAGAAACATGAACTTTGATGGAGTTAGTGGTCAGTTGGGTCAAGGTCACGAGTGCTAAAAATAGATTTTTACACATTTGCTCATACAGCCTTTATTAAGTGACAGATATATTTTATATTTGGTAGGAAGATAACTTGCATGGTCATCATTTTGATTGGGTTAGGGATCAGTGGGTCAAGGTCACTTGTGCTAAAAATAGAATTTTACACTTTTGCCCATACAGCTTTTATTTATTGACAGATGTATTTCATATTTGATAGGAAGATAACTTGCATGGTATTCTTCCTTTGGATGGAGTAAGGGGTCAGATGGGTCAAGGTCACCAGTGCTCAAAATAGATTTTTACACTTTTGCCCATACAGCCTTTATTTATTGACACATGTATTTCATATTTGGTAGGAAGATAACTTGCATGGTATTTTGGATAGAGTTAGGGGTCAGTTTGGTTAAGGTCACCAGTGCTAAAAATAGATTTTACACTTTTGCCCATACAGCCTTTATTTGATGACAGATGTATTTCATATTTGGTAGGAAGATAACTTACATGGTATTCTTCTTTTGGATAGAGTTAGGGGTCAGTTTGGTTAAGGTCACCAGTGCTTAAAATAGATTTTTACTTTTTTGCCCATACAGCCTTTATTTAATGACAGATGTATTTCATATTTGGTAGGAAGATAACTTGCATGAAGTTGAATATTTTTCATCTTCACAAGTCAGAGCAATGACTTGGCAACTTATATTTTTCACAAATACAAAATGCTATGACTTTGTCAGGCTATATAACTTGTGTTTACAATTTTTTGGCAATTTTTCTGTCCATAACTGAGTGAATGGGTAAACATTTTTTGAAATATTGCTACTGACAAGAATCTGAGCCGGGGGCATTTGTGTTTAACAAACACGTTCTTATTCTTTATTAAGAATAAATTTGATAAATTTTGATTTCTTTATTACTCAAGTACAACATCTTTTTATACTACCGGTATATGTGTATATTTTATATTAAAATTTTCATTTCATTAATTTTTCAACCTTTTGTCAGTTGTTTTTATTCAGCTTGTTTTGTAAATTGTTTAAAATATTGAACCAACACTCATTGATAAGACTGTATCTCCTTAATAAAAATCATGTCCAACCAAAACACTTTGTCATTCCTCAAATGACTTTGAAATTACAAGTACCCTTATCTATACAGATACTTGCACTATTCATATTAAACCTCACAAACCTTTAAGTATATTCGGTGATAGAGGAAATTATAAGAAATGTTATCAAATAATGCTATTCGTTTAAGGTTGTGCAAAAGTGCTGACTTCATCCCAAAGCTGGCAAAAGAAATCTTGAATGGACGGGACAGAAATGATGTAAAGACATCGCTAGAAGGGATTCGGAAACAGCTGAACTCCATGAAAGCTAAAAAATTACAGCAGATAAAAGATGTGGCTGAAGAAAAAGATGAAAACTTGAAAGAAATTGTCAAGATGAAGGAACAGATCATTGCCAGAGTGGAAGAGATGGAACGAAATTCTGTCCAACAAGTCCAAAAGAAACATGACAAAATAGTTAGAGCTATAGAGTCTGACATAGACTCAATAGATGTTAAACTGAATGCTGTTCAGAGCAATATTGAAAAAGTCAATGCATTCAAGGGAGACAATGAAGCTAAATTGTTTGTAGTTCTGAATAAAGCACATGAGGTAGAAGTAAGTAGTAGTAGTTTCATTGATGAGAATGGTAAAGGGGAGTATGACAAAATTGATTTTGTAGTCAGTCAAGATATTGCAACCTTTGTAGGTAAGATAGATGCTTTTGGTAATGTCAAAGCTGATGAAGACAGGGAAAAAGGTCATACAGTAGCCACTTATTCTCAGATACATGTAGCTGAAGCATCAATTGTTAGTCAAGTTTCTGTTAAAGGAAAAGACAGTTGTATATTAGATAATGGCCAGATTATTATTCTTGTAAACGAAGGTCTCATTAGACTTGATAGAACTTATAAAATGTTAGATAAATGTAATTTGAGTGGTGCCAGGTACTTATGCAAAGCTGGACCAACTGAGATAATCGTTTTGTGTAATACAGAAATTATATTTGTTGATGCTGGAAAATCATTAGCAAAATTCTGGGGCTTTGGTATGAATACCAATTATGAGGATAAGAAAAAAATTTACCCTGTGCTTCCAAATTTTAGATGTACAGAAGTACAATTTTTTGGTATATCTGTTTACCAAGAAAATTTATTTGTATGTGTTAAATTAACGTACGAGTTAGATGACTATTATCGTACAAAAAAAATATAAGTTTGGTGTTTCAGTTTATGTTTTGAAGGTTGTCATTTGAAAAAACATATTTTTGTTGTTTGATGAAAAAGATAAGAAAATAAAATTCATGAAAACTTTCGCTTTATAACTTTTTGCAGGGAAATTTTTCCCCAGAAAAAGGTCTCTTGTTTTTTGACAAATTTTAACAAAAACTTTGGTTCAGGGGTTAACACAAGAGATTCAGAATGTTATTATGTCTGTGAGGGAAAAAAATTGGTCAATCCCTTTGTTTGTGGTCAAAACTCAAACAATATATTTTTTTGGAAAAGTTTGGGAAAAAGAAAAACAAAAGGGAAAGAGTTTTTGGGTAGCTTAATGGAATATGGGACCCAAATTTTCCCGGGTAATTATAAAAAAAAGAAAATCCCCTTTGGTGGCGAGGGATCTCAAGATACCCAAAGTAACAGTTAAAAAAAGGAACAAACAGCTGATTTATAGTATGCTAATCAGTCTTTTAAAGGGTTAGAGTTCATTACATTTTGAAATTATTAGTGAATACTATCAAATACATGTCCAAAAACAAGAATTTCATAAGATCCCGTTCAGTTGTTTATTAATGCCTCAGTGTCATGTTCTTACATTTTTCTAATGAGTTTATGGACATTATGTTGTAGCTAGTGTTAAGTAAACTTTAATCACTCTATGTGTGTAATAGAATATATAGATAGAGGTGGCGGCAAATGAGCAATCTTTAGATGTACATGTAATTGTTTGTATTTAGTAACCCTTAGCCTGGCTAGTCCAACAGTGATTGGCCTTTGCTACCATTATAGAACCAGGCCAGGATGTGTGCTCTATATTGCTGGTACATTTGTAGCATAAATTGTTGTATTTTGTAATCCGTTAAATTTTAAATAGGTTGTTCCAAATACGAGACCAGAAATTGATAATTTTTCACTATTGTTCTCGGTTTGATTTATTTAGTTGTTTGGACAGTTATATCTATAAAGCAATTTTAATTGTTTGTTTCTAAGATGCCATTTATTTAGAGCTCACTGATTATTTTTCTCTTTTATACAGATTTGACTGTATCAATATTTTCATAATGTGTGTTAAAGGTTGGACTGTAGTCTGTAGTGCAAATTTTATTATGTGTATTAAAGTTTTGAGTGTTTCCTTGATACGAATTTGACTGTATCACAAATTTTGTTATATAATGTTTGATAGTATAGTATTTGTTAAACTTTTTATTTTATTGTATTAATTAATATGTCTTCATTAGATTGACTATTATAATGTTATGGTATTTCAAGATTTGAATGTATTGTATATTATAATGTGATAATTCAAGATTTGACTGTATTGTACATAATGTTATGATATTTCAAAGTTTGAATGTATTCATACCATGTTATGGTAATTCAAGATTTGACTGTACTGCATATTATATTTTAATAGCTCAAGAATTGACCGTATTGTATATAATCATATTTGACAGTTTGACTGTATTGCATGTATTCACTCGGAGCGCTTGTCGCGTTCTGTCCTTGAATAACTAGAATAATAACTTTTGTAAGGTCATGTCAACTGAAACATTTTAGTTGGCATTCTTAGTGCAAGGTGTTTAATTATAAACTACAATAGAAATATGTGATAATGATTGTATGTCATCACAAGTCAAAGAACACTGAGCAATAACGCATAATCTATGTTATGGAATTTTTATGAAATAAATACATGCAGTTATAGGATCTGATATGAGTTGGCATTGATTGTTTTTTTATTTGGTGTTACACTGTACTAGGGGAAGACCTGATGTACCCACCCATGCATTATTTCAGTAACGAATTGGCATCTTAGTAGAACCACCGACGTTCCGTAAGGTAGCTGGATAGATTCCTCCCATGACAGAAAATCAAGTCCTGGCACAATTCGAACCTATCGCTGTGAGCAACATTCACCACTAGGTCATATATATGCCCCTGGTTACTTACTAGTCACCTAGACATAAAAGAGTTCGGACTGATCGTTTGGTGTCATATTCTTTTTATCACATAGCTAAATTTATCAAAACAATCTGTTTACAACTTTATGTTGATTTATTAACAGAAGCTTATATTATTGCTAGGCGTTAATGGTAAGCTGGTAATTTCCATTAAAAATACACTGCAAAAATAAAAAAAAGGAGTACGTCTAAAACAATGGCAAACGTAGGGATCCAACACGGACCTTGTATATCCGGCAATCACTTAACTGATTGTGCTACTGCGGATAATTATATCGACAACATAGACATTAAGATGGTGTGACGTTTCAAAATATTAGTTATATACTCCATATTAATTCTCATAAACTACACGGACAGATTCGTAGTGGAGTCGGTTGTTTAAATGATTACGTGCTATATAATGTATTCATAAGTGACAGGTCAAGGATATCAAACTATACTACTAACGAGGAATACAAGTACAAATAACACTTTCCAAATATTTTTTTTCTAAATCTCAAATAAATGCATTCAAAACAAGCAGGAGATATTTTTAGCTTTTACTGAAAACCGTTTTCTGCTATTTATAAATAACTCTATCATTTTTAGATAATGTTCATATGCAAGTATCTTAAGTTCTAAGTCCAATTTTAGGAAACAAATACTATTCAACTCTAAATGAAACTAATCAATGCAATATATATCAAGGTGTTTTTTCATAAAATGGGACTTTAACAAAATTTGTGATTTAATCTGGGCCAGTCTCAAAATCAGAGAGCATGTGACGTCACTATACTCGGCAAGACTAAAGTAGGGCTCACACAATAGCCAAACGTCAATTTAATCTATAGAGAAGAATCTTTAGACTGGTTTTCATTCTAAATCTTTAGACTGGTTTTCATTCTAAAAAAGTCTGTACCATTTTGTTCCTCAAACATTGTATCACAAACATACATGACAGGGACAACTGCTGTGAACAAAGATTTAGCAATAAAAATGATGAGCCAGGAAGTAACGTCACCCAAGATATAGATATCGACGGGGAGAACGTGTCTATCATATATAACATCCCGAGAGAGACGATAAAAATCGACACCAAGATGGGTCAACCAGTTGTGATGCCATTTTACGGTGGACGAATGTTGAAGGTGGTTTATATTACATGTATATCGTGCGCGCATTTAAATAAATGCGTGCGTGTTCAGCGTGCGCATTGTTGCGTGTTCCTATTATTTTGTTACTTATTTTTTTGCTCCAGCAAGAGGGATGCTTTAAATAATTAAGTTGTCTATCTTGAGGTTGATTATTTTCAATGTCTTTTTTGTTTCTCTACTATTTTTCACCTATTATCATGTAAAAATAATATTCATTATTTAATTCATTCTAATCAGCTTTAGTTCAGCATAAATTCGGTCATTCTCAAGTTTAAATACAAGGTGCAGTCGAAAAAAAAAATATGAATACAATGAACACTTGATATATTCGCACATATAATAAAATTGAAGATAGAACATTTTGATTTTTTTGTATTAATTTCAGTGGTATTTAGTGTAGAGGGTGACAAACTTGTGTAGAATCAAAAAGGGGCGTTTTCTTTTCAGGCAAGGGAGTCAACTCGTTTTCGTATGTAAGATTATAGATTTTACATCATATTATCAATTTGTCATCCTTAGTTAAGGATAGATCGCCTGTATGGCAACGGCAATCAGATTTTGTCATTTTCCAGTAACTAAGGAGACTTTTGAGGTACATTATTTCTTTCCTGTCTTAAATAGAAAGGGACGCATCACATAAAATGCCATTGCATGGTCATTAATCACGAAGAACTGCTCATTGCATTGCCGTTATTAACTATATGTTTTTCACTAAGCATGAACGATTATTCACTGAGCGCTGCCTTCTGTATGAATAATTTTTACCAGCACTGCTAACTGCAAAAATATAGTTCACAGGTGTTGTTCACTGAGTCACTCAGTCAACCCACCGTCCACTAGATGTATAGTTCTCTAAGCACCATACACTTTATGAAAATTATTTACCGAGCAAGACCAACTGCATTTAATTTAATATTAGTTACTCAACCCGGTTTGCTGCATGAGCATCATCCACCTAGCAGTGTTCACTTCATACATGTTGTACACTGAGCACAACCGACTGCATGAATATTAATTAATTGCGTAAACTTCATTCACCGAGCAGCTACTAATGAAAGAACGCTTTTTACTGCTTACTGTTACTGCACGCACGCAATTCACTTGGCACTTCTCGTAGCACTACCCGACATACTGTTTGTTGGGAATAAATGCGAAAAAAATAACATAATAGAAATTTCAAGGAGTCGCGAATCTCTCCGTAACCTTATTGTTGTAGATCTGGTATCAAATAATTCGTCATTGAGAGCAAATTAGGCAAACATATTTTTCATGTGACAATTTATGATTAGATGAAGATATATTGAGCATTGCACGTATATCAATATATCGATTACTTATATCTTTTTTTTAAAATAATTGTCTTGTTTTTATCTATTTCAGAAAAAGACGGCGAAAGGCGTCGACGTCACAACTATTAGAGTATATAATAAAGAATAACAGGAAGCATACTGTTTTCAAACATGTATTCTATATTGTTCAATGGAAATATATATTTCTTACCAAATAATTTCAGTGACTAAAATGAACAGTTCATATTTCTGTTAAGAGTGTTGAAATGTTTAAGTGGCATTTTCGTATAATCAATTCCCTTTACCACCATCATCCCAATTTGTTTTTACTTAAAGATACAAAGAACAGTAGTCTCAATTATCTTTATTACTTTTTCTACATAATTTCTAATTAAATTCAGACTCAAACTATTCTTAACTTTTACATGGACTTTCATTATTTGAAAGACCAGGTTTTGTGCTATAAGATTGGAAAGAAATCAACGTTTCGTCTTTGAGCATTTGTTGATGATTATTCTTCGTTTATTGTGATAATGATTAAAGATCTATACAACAATTCATCATGTGTTTATTATATTTTGATAAATGCGAATGATACCAATTGATCTACAAGTGATGAATTCACTGATAAAATACAGCATAAATCATTAAATAAATTTAATGTACGCCACGATTTTCCATGGAAATAATTAAATAAATAAATAAAAATTCGATCCCCTTCTCTCAAAGAATTGTGGATTAAACCTTACAAACTGATCATTTTGCACCTTGCATGTTCACGAACCTGTTGTTAAATCTTAAATGTAGATTTATTTTTAGTTGCACTATATTCCTTTACTATTAGCCTGCCATCAGACTATACGCAAACGACAAGTGCAGACAAAGATTAGTAAGAAAATGCGTGCCGTCTGACCATGGTCTGCCTAGTTCACTATTTAGTCGGTATATATGTTAATTTTTTTCCCTTGAGGTCTTTACTCACAGTGCCTGAAAGGACGATTGGACTAGAATAAATACATACAAAAAGACAGACGGACAGACAGACAGACTGGATACAATATAGAGCCTTAATTGCTGGCATAAATATAACCAGCCGAGTGCTAGCCCCCCGGGTAATATTTATCTCATTTAGACTATATATTCTACCGTACATATATCTCATCAGCAGCTTGTATAAATAATATATACTCTTCTACAGTGTATTATAAATATTTTCCTTGCTCATTAAAACAACTGTAATATATGCTTGTCAAATCTTTTTTTTAAATCTTGTTTGGAATGTCCAAACTTCTGGTCTTGATCCGCATGCATTTGGAACATCATAAAATATGAAAATAGTGAAATATTTGTTGAAATTATCAGATAAAATTTCACCCCGAAATCAAAGAAAAAGAAAATAATTATAAAATAAACTACAACATAGAACTAAATGGTCCAATGACCATAAGATAAAAAAGTTCTTATTCATGGTCCGAAATGTCTATCATGGTTTGATATATACCAAAATCTGGTGCAAAATGATTAAAACTCTGTTCCAAATTAATTGTCTGGTCCGAAATGTCAATTACAAGTTATTTTAACATTACATCAAAGTTATGAACTTTAATGATCAGTTAATATGTATGTTACCAAAATATGTAAATTAATAAGAATCGCAAATAAAACATTTATTACATCATGTCAATGTACACGTGCTATATATTTTATTACTCTATTTAAAACGAATTTCAATTCAATAAGACAAAAATTATTTTCCAATTTTAATTTTGATATTATAAACATACGAGGAACAGGTTTTTCATGTAAGACTATAATTTGATTTTAGGCACAGGGACTTTTTATTCAGCCTGGTAATTGATCATGCAATACCCAATGCCTGATACATATATCCTGATACAAATACAAAATCTGTGGAAATGCTTTGTGATCGTTGTTAAAAGAAATCTTTAAAATGTGACGATTTTTTAGCAAAATGGCATGCCCGTAGAACAGTGGAGAAAATTGAAAAGAAAGGATAATGGAGACATATATCAAACAGTTCGCAACTATATCAACAATTTAAGAGTGTCATAATTGAGTGTGCTGAGAATTTAAAGGATAATTTGTTAATGTCTCGTATAAGACGGTGGCTTTACATTAAAAGTGTATCCTTCACAGAGGTAATACTTAAAAAAGAAAGAAACATGGACATAACATCACGTAACGTGGACCGCAGTGCGTTACAACATAACTTTATAATTTGCTATGTGTAATCAAATTAGATTATATATAGTTGATTTTTACATGTTCACTCGGCATAAGCGTACTTAATATATAAAGTAAAAAGCTTTAAGAGGTCCGTTGAGTAATAGTATTTTGTATTAAAACAGCAATCGTGTATATAAATTGCATCAGAGTTATTGTATTATACTCTGTGATGTAAAATTATCTAATAGTGATAAGTTGACCAAAAAGGTGACGAGTAAACAGGTTCAGGGTGAATTGCTCCAAAATACGGGACGAGTTGATGACGGGACGAGTTATCCACGGGACGAGTTGACGAGGGCACGAGTTGATCTGACCTTATCGGTGTTTATCAGTTACGTCCCCTTTCGCCACCACCTTTAACGTTCTTCAAATTCAAAAGATGGGTAAATTATTTGATACTTTTTTCCGTCTTAAGTTAGAGCTTATCTAAATATTGTTGTCACTTTTCATAATGTTTATTGATAATAATTAATCATAATTGAAGAAAATAACAGTCTCAAAGAGTTTCTACTTTCGATTTCGAATCTGACAGTGTTTGATTTGATTTAGACTCACCGGACCTATGCTCGCCCAGGCGCATGCTCGTCCAGATTTTGATTTTTATGATATAAACTTATAAAAAAATATTATCTGAATCATGTGTTGTTGTTTCTTGATGCTGCAAGTGTCCCAGTTCTCACCTTGTGTTCGAAGAGTTTAACGGAAGTTGTTAGCATAATAAAGCAGACGAAAACGAAAACAGAAGTACAAATGAAAGTCTGTGATGCTAATAAAAACAACGAATCATGTGTGACTTTTTAATAAAATCTTAATAGAAATAAACTTAAAATAACAATTAAACATTGTTCTTACTTTTTGTAAAGTTTAAGTCATTCAGATATACTTAAAACAGTCATAAACTGGTATTGACACCAGCTGTCATATTGTTTTTCTACATGCAATTTCCAGGGCAGCCATAATAGACGGCTTTTTCCATTAAATCTGTCCCTTTTGGTGTATCTATGGTGTATTTTTTGGTTAGACATTGATTTATTAATAACTTAGTAGATAATAACAGCTTAAAATAAAAAAATAATTACTTTTTTCGTTTTTGTATTCATTGTGCGAAGCAGAATGAATACAGAGTTATAAGTACAATCTCAAAAAAAGGTAGGCAGAGTGGATTTGCTGAACAGCATCCATCCGCTTATACGTCCGTGACATAAAGTAGTTCATGATTTGCACTTAAATCGCTTTAAGCATACGCTAAGCGATGACTTATCTGTCCCAATGTTGCAAAAAATTATGTTAAAGTTTTTTCTACCCGAAAATCATGCACTTTATTCATGTTTGACATCTAAAAACATCGATAAAAATTTCCTGTATTTCTACGCTACAAATTATTATTAACGCATGCGCAGACTCACAATAATTTATCGAAGAGAACAACACGTAACAGGAAAGAATCAACAACCATCGCACATATTGTAAGTAAATATATTTGAGTTATTGTTTTTTTTCATTGATTATCACTTTATATATTTATTCATTACATAACTTGACGAGTATTTTACGGGAAATTTGAATAAAACGGCCAAGTTCAAAAACACTTTGATTGACTCGGCCGCTCGTCATTTTGTCATTTACGTAATTTTCCCTATAATTCGAAATGAAAGTGTTAGAATGTTTCGATTTGAGACCAACTTATCCACTGATTTTGATCATTGTCATGTTTTTTTGTTGTTTACTCGTGTGTCACGTAACTTGGTCATAACATAAACACAAACACGAGGTTGACCCACTTTTGAGAATTGGCCCATTGTTGACAATAGCGTGAAAGGCGTTTGTTATTATCTATTTCATCACTTTCTTTTCGTTAGAAAATGTGGTTAATGAGCTGCTTTTTAGAGTTTTGTATTTGGTTGTGAAATATTAACAAATTTCATTATGTAAGGTTCGCGCCATAAACATGACTCATACCGGAAGTTCCTTTGTTTGTTTACGACCGGAAGTCGCTTATGTTCAAAAATTAAATAAGAATCAAAATTACATGAAGGATTTAAAGTTAGATTGATGTGGTAAATGCTGTATAATATTTATTTCCAGGTTGACTGTAACCTTTTTGTCGTGGGTATTGTAGCGGATATTCCTTGTGACGTAAGTAAATCTATATACTGGTAACAATAATTTTTTATTATGAAAATTGCAGAGGCAGTCGGTGTGTGGTTTTGATACATAAAATGATCATGATATCTGCCACTTGCTTGATGCCTAAGTTTAAGTTCAATTTGTTTTATCAACATGTATATTGTTGTATCTAAGCTAGGACAGTCGTCTGTGGTTTATATTAGTAGAGGTGATTCAGCCATCTTTGTTTTTTACTAACTGGGTCTTGCTAAAGTGAAAGTATGCCAAAATTCATACAAGTTTAGATTACCAATATCTACATCATACTGCTTTAAAATTGTTAACGATTACTTTAAGTATACATTAAAGAGCCAGCTATGAAATACAAGGGAATCCAGGAACCAGTATTTAGCTTTTATTGAATAGACCCCTTTGTTCTTTTACATGTCTGGATTTCTGAGTACAGCTCTAGGTAGGTTGGAAACACTAAAAGTGTCTCTAAACAATCCCAAGGGTGTAACCCTATATTAAATCCAGGATCTCGGGAGTGATAATCCTTCACTTCCTAGGGCAACTCTAAAAGAATCCAAATATAGAAGCTACTGCTGTGGTCAAAGTAGCAGAAAGTGAGAAATGTACAGAAGGGAGGTAACTCCTGTACCAGAAATTATTGATAAGAATTAATATGGCAGATAATCATCGTATGCATTCGCCCTTTAAATATTTGTCTTATTTAAACAAGTAAAATGGTTTTGGATGGTTTTGAAAATGAAATCTCTAAATTGATATTTTCAGGGAAATAAAAGATTATTTACTTTAATATTCACTTGGAAAGGCTGGTACATGTAGCTAGAAAAAGTACAGTATAAGATTAAAGAAAGACTAGAAGATTATTACAAACAACAGGTACTTATATAATATTTAATGTATATTTCACAAACCAAACTGTTTTCCAAAAAAAAATGAATGAAAACATGCATTTTTACCAGTGTCACCACGGGTCAGATTAACAGACCCATTCCCAGTGGCAAATAATGCCAAATATGCTTTTTTTCTTTTCCAAGTTTAGAAAAAAATCATAAGTCAAAATTCCGTTATCAAAGGTGACAATTTTTCTTCATTCCATTTCAATCCAATATGGTACCAGACAGATGATGTTCAAAAACACATTCCATTGTCAATTTTTTATGTATTTTTTATGCTTTGAATGATATACAATTTGTTGGATTAACAACTTTGTACATGGTACTAAATATTTTTCCCAATCAAGATGCAAAATTTCTTAACCCATTACTTCATGAGCATTTTGTGAAAAATGGCTGTTTCCATTGAAAAGTCTCCCGTTACAAGTTCAAATTGCTATAATACTATAAAAACTGCTTCAACACTAATCAAACTTGGCACAAATGTTGACTGGACCATTGCCCTTGCAACAACATGCTCAGGCTTAAATTTTTCTGTTCCCATGGCAACGAGGGGACATCTCAAAATTGCCCAAAATCACTACTTTGCCTCGATTTTTTCAGTCAAAATTGATTTCAAAGTGATGCCACTTTTCAATGGATTGAGATATAGTCAAATGCTTTTCAGCGTTGGTTACACGTTACCTTATGATCAATCTGGGGTCATTTACAGCCTCTCACAAGTCCAAAATTTTCTTGGCATCATGCTTAGAATGGTTTCACACAGGTCAGTAAGACCGGTGTACACAATGTACTGTCTGCACATATGTGTCAGAAAAAAATATCACAAAAAAGGAATTTAGTATTACTATGAGTATTTATTAAAGAAATTGTATTTCAAATATATTTAAATAGTATTATTGAAAGTCATTTTGTATGACAGACACACAAATCTAGTGCTCTGCATTATAAATGTAAGAAGAGACAAATAAGATAAGCATTTTTTTTGCAAATTATTGCACTTCATATAATTTTTATTGCTTTTTTTTAAGGTGGACATGTGTCACTGTCAAGCGAATGAAGATAAGCATCACACTCGGTGGGAATCTCCAGTTTCCAGATGTAGTGATCATAACTGTATAGGCACCATTAACACTTTGGACTAGTTGGAGTATTTTAGAGGGCTAGTCTGAATTGAATCCCCTGTCAATAGTCAAGGCCAGTCATGAACATTGTGTTGAAGGAAAATGTTAAAACTCGGATTTTCCGCTTAACCAATCATTACTTTACCTTATATTCAGTGCGGTAATGTAGGAAATGGTTACTTTCTGAAACAGAGCTGTCAATTATTTTTAATTTATTAGCTTGTTAGTGTTATCGTCGGACAGTTGTGAAGTAAAAACATCATAGTTTGACTGTATACAAGTTGCCTTAAAGAAAGTATGTCGAAATCTTAACAGTTATTCGTTGATTTTGTAGAAATTGACTAGAATTCACCTTTGTTAACATGCATCGCTTGGACGTCGAAAACGACATGCAATGACATTTCAGTGAAATTTGGAAACTTGCTCGTATTTTGGAGCATTTTGTAGGATTTCGATGAAGTAAAAAGTGTTTATGATAGGATACATTATTCCTAGAGACAACCATAAAGATAAAATAGTGATCTGGTGTATTTTTACCGAACAGTTCTTGTTTGTTTTGCATGATATTTTTCTCTCGTTAGGGACCTTTATTCTTTATATATAGTATTATGAGCATATATATGGGTAAATGTGGTTTTAACATGTATCTTAGCTTGCCTGGTGTAATGATAAGTAATAAACCTGAGAATTGAAACTATGAGAATAAATTGTTGTTATTAGTCCCCTTCTATTTTCATTAAGAGGGGACTAAAGGCTGACCCATTTCTGTATGTCAATGAAAGCTGAAAGCTGAATTTTGCTATAACTTAAATGGTACAAAAGTAAGGTTCATCATACTGGTATCTGATATAGAACTATACAGAGATTTAGCATGTTATTATAATTTATGCTCCTATGATTCTGGATAAATATCTGTGTTCATTCCATACAGACTTGTACTTTTGGGGAAAAAGGTTGCTCATGGGAGGAAAATATGTTTTTAATGGTGTTTTTTGAGATTTTAGTTGATAAAGGAAAAAAAAAACATAGTCTGTACTTAGGAAGACATTTGTCCTTCACACTCTTGTCCGAAATATGAATATAACTAGATATGTATTGAAGGGATTTTATGTGTAAACTTCACAAAGTGATAGAGACTTTTAAGAGGAAGTGCAATGTTCAAGAAAACATAACTCTACCTTGCTTCATGTTTTAATTATATTCCTTAAGTTAAAAATGCTTATTCCAAACTATCACTGAATCTACATCAACTTGAACGACTCGAATTTTCCAATGTGTCAAAGAACCATAACTCCATTCCTTAGTTTTTAGCTCACCTGTCACAAAGTGACAGGTCAAGGTTTTGTGATCCCTTTTCGTCCGGCCGTAAACTTTTACTTTAAATGACATCTGCTCATAAACCACTACGCTAATTTCATCCAAACTTCACAAGAATGTTCCTTTGGCTGTCACCTTTAAAAAATTGTGCAAAGAATTTAATTCCATGCAGAACTCTGGTTGCAATGGGAACCGAAAGAAAAAAACTTTAAATATCATCTTTAAAAAAACCCTAAGAGCTAGAGCTTAGATATTTGGCTTGAAACATCCTTTAGTGAGTGTCTACCAAGTTTTTTAAATAAAAGCCCTGGGGTCAAAATTGGCCCCGCCCCAGGGGTCTTTGTTTTTCCCTATGTGCATATAGTAAAAACTTTATAAAATCTCCTTTTAAAGAACCCAAAAGAGCTAGAGCTAAGATATTAAGCATGAAACATCATCTAATGAGTGTTTACCAAGTTTGTTCAAATAAAAGGCCCGGGGTCAAAATTGGTCCTGCCCCAGGGGGTCATTAATTTTCTTTAAATGCATATAGTAAAAACTTAAAAAAATCTTCTTTTAAGAAACTAAAAGAGCTAGAGTTAAGATATTTAGCATGAAATATCTTCTAGTGAGTGTTTACAAAGATTGTTAAAATAAAAGCCCTGGGGTCAAAATTGGTCCTGCCCCAGGGGGTCATTAATTTTCTTTAAATGCAAATAGTAAAAACTTAAAAATCTTCTTTTAAAGAACCCAAAGAGCTAGAGCTAAGATATTTAGCATGAACATCTTCTAATGAGTGTCTACCAAGTTTGTTCAAATAAAATCCCCGGGGTCAAAATTGGCCCTGCCCCAGGGGATCATTGATTTTCCGTATATGCATATAGTAAAAACTTCAAAAAATCTTTTTTAAAGAACCCAAAAAGCTAGAGTTTTTATTATAAGTTGAAACATCTTCTAGTGAGTGTCTACAAAGTTTGTTCAAATAAAAAGCCCTGGGGTCAAAACTGGCCCTGCTCCAGGGTTGTCATTGTTTTTAACAGTATATGTTAGTAAAAACTTAAAAAATCTTCTTTAAAAAAACCCAATAAACTAGAGCTTTGATGTTTTAGCATGAATCATCTTCTTATGGATGTCTTCCAAGTTTGTTCAAATAAAAGCCCTTGGGTTAAAACTGGCCCTGCAGGGTGGGGGGTGCTTTTTATGAATGGAATCAAGAGAGATGAAGTCTAAAATGTGATACTGTCAATGTGACTAACCTTGAAGTAAACAGATGACACAATGTTTTTTCAATGTCATGGGCATATAATGAAGAGGTACATGATTATTTGTATACACTTTTCCTTAATAAATACTTTCTAAATGTTTGACATGTTTAAAGGCCAACACAGGGCTCAAGGTTTATTTAAAATCTGTAAGCTTGGCACTTAGAGCCAATTGTATATTAATTATTTCAATATCTTTATTTATCATTATGCAATCTGTTGTTAATTTAGGAACAAAAGTCGATAGCAAAAACATTTTAGCCGTGTCATGACGAAACCAACATAATGGGCATCCGCCCAGTCTGATCAGGATCCATACTGTTCGCTATCAGTTTCTCTACTTGTAATAAGGTTTGTAAGCGAACAGCATGGATCCTGATCAGACTAACCTGGTCTGGATCCATGCTGGTCGCAAACCCATTATGTTGGTTTTGTCATGACACGGCTCATTTGTGACATGTAATTCACTTAAATTGTATTTTATTTTGTATATATATTTCATCTTCAAAACAATTAAAGTAATGATTATAATAGCATTGATTTCATATTTGTTTGTCTTAATAATTAGCTTTGTTTTTAAAATATAACAGTGTAGTTTTATTGTTGGTTTATCTTGTTTTAAGATTTGTTTAAACCGAATACCAATCAGTCTATATAATAATTGGAAAGACAGAATATTGCTTGTTTTAGAGTGATATGCTTAATGAATATTTCAGCAATAAGTATTTACTGTATAATTACCACTCTGACCTAGGGTAAACAAGAATAAGCTGTCATAAAGATGTAAATTTTTTTTAATTTAAGAATTTCTATTTATGTTGCTGTTTTAAAATGCGTATGATTTACAATTTTATTTCCTGTTTTCTGTATATACACACAGTTTTTAAGTAATTTATTGCTTTGAAATGTCAAAAAATGCAGATACTTTTGTTTAAATAAGTCAAATAATAAAAAGAATCAGTTGATAAAAAAAACAAGGCCTGATGAAAAGCAAAGGCCTGATGACATTTTCTAAAACCATTTCATTAATAATTTTATCGATAACATTTTTTTAAAGTGTTGTATATATATTTACTTGTTTCAGTTCTATTTAAAAAAAAAACACTATTTTAAAAAAAAAAAAGAACTCTTCTAGGAAGGGATATTTAAGATTTGCAAGAATTAATGTAAGCACATATTTTGACATATACATGTATACTAATGTGAATTTATATTTTTTTACCCAAGGTGTTTAGAAATTTATCATTTTTTGTGGGACCAGACCTCTTAAATGATTGAAAAAAGTTCATTTGATGCCGGTAAAATTATTGTTTACAAAGCATAATTCAAGATTGTTGTAATATGTAAGCATTATAGTGGTATTATGCCTATCCAATGTTACTTGATGAACATTCAAATATTATTTTTCATCAAATTCTTTTTCAAAGGCTAGGGTTGGATAACAATTAAGTGGGAAAAGTTATACAATGCTTCATACTTAATAAATTTCTTGACTTTCACTCAATATATTTGTTATTATTCATCCTTAGTCATTTCATTATACAATCTTTTAATGACATATATACAGGTAATGCAACTATTATTGCAAGGGAATAAGCATAATACCTCTAACATGCATTTGTACTTTATTTTGTATATATATTTCATCTTCAAAACAATTAAAGTAATGATTATAATAGCATTGATTTCATATTTGTTTGTCTTAATAATTAGCTTTGTTTTAAATATAACAGTGTAGTTTTTATTGTTGGTTTATCTTGTTTAAGATTTGTTTAAACCGATTACCAATCAGTCTATATAATAATTGGAAAGACAGAATATTGCTTGTTTTTAGAGTGATATGCTTAATGAATATTCAGCAATAGTATTTACTGTATAATTACCACTCTGACCTAGGTAAACAAGATAAGCTGTCATAAAGATGTAAATTTTGTTTAATTTAGAATTCTATTTATGTTGCTGTTAAAATGCGTATGATACAATTTTATTCCTGTTTTCTGTATATACACACAGTTTTAAGTAATTTATGCTTTGAAATGTCAAAAAATGCAGATACTTTTGTTAAATAAGTCAAATAATAAAAAGAATCAGTTGATAAAAAAACAAGGCCTGATGAAAACCAAAGGCCTGATGACATTTTCTAAAACCATTTCATTAATAATTTTATCGATAACATTTTTTTTAAAGTGTTGTATATATATATTTACTTGTTTCAGTTCTATTTAAAAAAAACACTATTTTAAAAAAAAAAAAGAACTCTTCTAGGAAGGGATATTTAAGATTTTGCAAGAATTAATGTAAGCACATATTTGGACATATACATGTATACTAATGTGAATTTATATTTTTTTTACCCAAGGTGTTAGAAATTTATCATTTTTTGTGGGACCAGACCTCTTAAATGATTGAAAAGTTCATTTGATGCCGGTAAAATTATTGTTTACAAAGCATAATTATACCCCCGCACAACAAAGTTGTAAGGGGGGTATACTGGAATCAGCTTGTACGTCCGTCCGGCCGTCCGTCGGTTTTTTCTTGTCCGCCCAATAACTTAAGATTCCTTTGACCCTTAGTCTTCATATTTGGCATGGAGGTTAGTCATGATTAGTAAATGACCCCTATTGATTTTGAGGTCACTAGGTCAAAGGTCAAGGTCACAGGGGCCTTGACTTCAAAAAGCTTGTCCGCCTAATAACTTAAGATTCCTTTGACCTACAGTCGTCATATTTGGCATGGAGGTTAGTCATGATTAGTAGATGACCCCTATTGATTTTGAGGTCATCAGGTTAAAGGTCAAGGTCACAGGGGCCTTGACTTCAAAAAGCTTGTCCGCCCAATAACTTAAGATTCCTTTGACCTACAGTCATCATATTTGGCAGTGAGGTTAGTCATGATTAGTAGATGACCCCTATTGATTTGAGGTCACCAGGTCAAAGGTCAAGGTCACAGGGGCCTTGACTTCAAAAAGCTTGTCCGCTCAATAACTTAAGATTCCTTCGACCTACAGTCGTCATATTTGGCATGGAAGTTAGTCATGATTAGAAAATGACCCCTATTGATTTTGAGGTCAC